ACCCTTCTCCCTCATCTCCCTCCAGCTCTTTGAAAGTGAATCTCTAATTATAGGCCATGTTTGAGATTTACTAGATGAAATCAACAGCTGTAGATATGACACTAGTGTTGCAAAAAATCGACACACTGTTGCCATAAAAAGCCCAATTGTTAATTGCTTCTTTGGCATCTGGCTATAACAGAAACACCCTTTTGCTGTTTAATACTAAAAGTAAATGTGGAAAGAGCATGGGGCTAGATTTAGAGGAGGCTACCTATCATCGAGGGCTTGTGATTTGGGGGCAAAATATTTTATTTCTCTCAGGTCTCAGTGTCCCTGTCTACAAAATTGAGGACATGAAACCAAATTATCACTTTCAGGTTAAAATTGCTATTCTGGGAGCTGGGGTTGTGGCTCAGTAGTAGAGCACTTGCCTGGCACATGTGAGGCACTGGGTTCGATTCTCAACACCGCATAAAAATAAACAAATAAATAAAATAAAGGTACTGTGTCCATCTACAACTTTAAATTTTTTTTTGTTTCTGGATTAGTCTTTTTTAAATTTATTTATTAACTATTTTAATTAGGTATATATGATAGCAGAATGCATTTTGATTCATTGTACACAATTGCAGCACAACTTTTCATTTCTCTGGTTGTTAAAACTTTTTAAAATTCCATTCTGAATCTTGAAAATACAGTGTACTTCTCATTCCCACCCAGCCTTTTCCCATGACTTTACTCTACAATTAACCTAATGCAATTTTACAATTTGTAATACAGTCAAGAACCACAACATTGGGCTGGGGTGTGGCTCAGTGGTAGAGCACTTGCCTAGCACAAGTGAGGCACTGGGTTTGACCCTCAGCATCGCATAAAAGTAAATGAATAAAATAAAATAGTATTGTGTTCATCTAAATAAAGAGAGAGAGAGAGAGAGAAAGAAAGAAAGAAAATAAGAAAGAAAGAAAACTACACATTGATTTCAGCATCTGCATGGTTTGGGCTGTGCCAGCAATCTTTTCCAATCTTTTCTGAACTGAAATTTGCTGTCAGGTCCTGCAGTTCTCAGCTGCAATCCATCTGGGTTCCATGTTGTAGGGTCTTCTTTTATTCTTGAAAAGTGTGGACCTGGGATATACAGGAAGATTCTGGGTTAGGTACCATTGCAAACTCAGAGGTTGTGGGCTGAAGACACCAGCCAGGGCTGTCCAAGGCTCAGGGCAGGAAGGGTGGAGCAGGTCAGCTCATCCAGGTGTTGCTATTTGCAGGCCTCTTGCCCAGCGGTGCTGAGGGTCAAACCCAGTGCCTCACTTGTGCTAGCACGAGGCCCCTCAGGCCATTGCCCTGGTTTTATTTCATTCCCCTGCCCTGGTGCCTGCCCATCTTGCTCTATTCACCGGGTTCTTTGTCTCCTCCAGCTCTGGGTTGCTGGGAGCCTTCTGCTTTCCTCTGCTCACTGGCTCTATGACTATCCTTTATTTCCTCAGCTGCTAACCCTGAGGACAGCCTGTGTTCTGGTCAACCATAAAGTGGAAACCATATCTTCTAAGCCTCTAGCCATGTGCAGTTAATAATACCCATTATTTGCCTCCATTGTGGAAAAATCAGTAGGCAGTTTGGGAGAGAAACATGTATCAATACTTCATTTTTTGTTACAGCTAAATAATATTCCATTGAAGGGATATACCACATTTTGTGTATCCAGTCTTAAGTTGATAGATCTTTGGGGGTTTTGTTTTGTTTTGTTTATTATGAATTTGAACATCCATGGACAAGTTTTTTTTTAATATATATTTTTTAGTTGTGGATGAACCTTTATTTTTTATTTATTTATTTTTATGTGGTGCTGAGAATTGAACTCAGTGCCTCACACACAACCCCAGCCCCACAGACAAGTTTTTGTGGAGATATATGCTTTTGGTTCTCCCCAGTAGATACCTAGCAGTGGAATTGATGGGTCAAATATCAACTCTATGTTTAATATTGAGGAACTCCCTGAAATGTTTTCCAATGTTGTCACACTCTTCTACATTTCCCTTGGCAATGTATGAGAGTTCCAATTTCTGCCCATCTTTGCCAGCACTTATTGTTGTGCACATAGTATTTTAATTAGTCTTTCACTTAAATATTTACTCAATTTGGGCTAAAATTCCAATGCACCACCCACATATGGACGATGGGTTCAAAGAGGGCTCAGTCATTTATTCAACATCTATGATGTCCGTGACCTGTGGCAATAGGATCTACTGCCCTGGAGGGCTCACAATCCAGGGGAGGTAGATGACCAAATGCCATTATAGATTGCTCACCTACTGGGCTAGGACCTGAGGCTTCTTTGGAACCTAAAGGAGGAGCTACACAGGAAAGGGTCCTTGGGGGTGGTGACACTTGAGTTCAGTCCAGAAGAAAGAAAAGGAGAGAGAGAGAGAGGCAGAGTAGAGGGTTGGTTGGGGAGAAGGAAGTTCAGGAAGAGAGACCAACACCTGCCTAGGAGGTTCAAGAGTTCTGGGGCTTTGAAGGACGGGGCCGCCCAGAGCTTCTGAAGGCTGGAGGGACAGCGTGGCATTGGGATGGTGGTCCAGAAAAGACCTTGGAAAGGTAAACAACAATGTAAAGGGCCTAGTAGTCCATGCCAGGTGTTTTAACTTTCTCCTCAACTCGTGGCACCATGGGTGGATTCTGAGAAGGGAGCGATATAGTTGGGTTCTCTTGGGGGACCAGCATGGCTGCAGAGTGGGGAACAGTAAATAGAAGGATTGAAACAAGGCTGGGAAGATAAGGCTCTGCCTCAACTTTGATGAAGGCCTGGCATTGGCCTAGTTTGGGAATTGCTCCTGGGGTTGTCCTGTGTCTCCCCCTCAGAGGAGGCTGATCCATAAGGGAAGTCAAGGGCAGCCAGAAAGCCCTCGTGAGAGGCTGGTACAAGGTGGCCCAGAGCCTCAGCCAGCTCCAAATGAGAAACCTGTCTCCGTTTGTGAGAAGCCTGCTCTGGCCCCTCAAGCCCCCGCTGAGGCACAGTCTGCCCTGAGTTACAAGGGCTGGGGCAGTCATAGCCCGTCTGATTTCCTGCTTCATCCCATCTACCTTTCTACACGGGGCCCCTAACCTCTCCTGGGAGGAGAAGCCAGCTTTTCCGCTTCACCCTGTGGCCTCTGCTGTGTGTGGGAAGCCTTTGCCTCCCTGGGGCCTGCATCCCCATCAACAAGGTCAGGTTGTGTTAGGGGCCCAGACCCAAGATTGTGCAGCAGACCCCACAGCAGCTTTCAGTCTTTTTTACAATAATTAAAATAATCTTATAAAAACATTTTAAACATAATTACTGGCATTTGTGCACTTTATTAGTTTACACATTCGTTTTTTAAATACCGCAGGGAGAAAAAATCCTCTAAGTACATAATCAGTAGCCAATTTCCACATGGCAATCATTGAGCAAATATTAAGTGGTTCAACATTTTTTTCAGAAGTCTTTTTTTGCCTTTCTTGTTTCATTCTTATAACTGAAATTTAACACCAATCTTTTGTGTAAAACTCAGCGGATTTTCACATATTGCATCCAAATCAACATAAAATCATCCCAGAAGTTTCCCTCCTGTTCCTTTGTACTCACCCCCCGACCCCCAAACACACCAAGAGGTTACCTGTCTTCTACCTTTCATCACCATAGACAGGTTGTGCTTGTTCATGGGATTTTAATCACCCAGTGTATGTATGCTATTGCCTCTGGCTCCTTTTGTTCAGCATTTCTGTTAGAGTCATACGTGTTCTTGCATGTAGCCACCAACACTTGTTCTTTTTCATTGCTGTATAGTATTATGTCATATGAAGATACCATGGTTTATTCACCTGGTTTCCTGTTAATGAACATTTGGGCTGTTTCCAATCTTTAGCTATTATATTTTAAACTGGTGTGAATATTCTAGTATAGTCTTTTGGTGGCCATCTGCACTCATTACTCCCAGAAATTAAATTATTAGATCATAAGTAAGCATGTGCTTGGTTTTGTAAATGTTACTGAGCAATTGCCCAAAGTTGTTGAGCCATTTTTCACTCCCATCAATGCATTGGACTTTTTTTTTTTTTTTGGTAAAGTTTATTTGATTTATTTATGTATTTGTTTGTTTTTGGTACTAGGTATTGAACTCAGAGGCACTTAACCACTGAGCCACATCCCCAGTCCTTTTTTGTATTTTATTTAGAGACAGGATCTCTCTGAGTGGCTTAGGGCCTTGCTAAGTTGCTAAGGCTGACTTTGAACTAGGGATCCTCCTGCCTTAGCCTCCTGAGCCCCTGGGATTACAGGCAGGTGCCACCACACCCAGCTTGCAAAGTTTATTGACATTAAAATCAAGAAAAGTACATAATACAATGCCTCAAACCTAACTTTATTTTTCCCCTTTTACTGGAGCTTTAACCCCGGGGTGCCTTACCACTGAGCTATATCCTCAGCCATTTTTTATTTTAAGACAGGGTCTCATGAAGTTGCCAGGCTGGCCTAGAACTTGTAGTTCTTCTTCCTCCGGCTCACAAATCTAACTTTAAATCACTTTTTTTGTTTTTTTTTTTTTTTTGAAATTTTTGCCGATTAATTACCTTGTAATCCCTCCATTTTTTTAATAGAGAAATCATAATCCATCTTTCTTCTTTTCTTCCTCCCTTCTTTTCTTTTCTTTTTTTTTTTTTTTTTTAATTCAGTGCTGGGGATGGAACCCAGGGCCTCATACCTGCTCCACCACTGAGCTACCCCCCAGCCCTCACACTTTTAAGTAACTGCACTGTTCTTTGGTGTTTTAGTGTGTCCACACAGGTGTACAACCACCACCATCGTCTAATTCAGCACATTTTCATCTTCCCCCCAAGAAATGCCAGTTCCATTAGTAGTCACCCCACATCCCTTCCTCTCCCAAGTCCCTGGCAACCACTAATCTACTTTCCGTCTCTATGGAGTTGCCTGTTCTGGACATTTCATATAGATGGTTAAATTTTTAATATATCAATTTCTATGACTTTTTTTCCCCTAGGATCCTAAACACTTCAAGTCAGAAAAGACAGGACGGGGACAGTTAAGGGAAGGCTGGAGAGATAGTCATCAGCCCATCATGTGCTCCTACAAGCTGGTGACCGTGAAGTTCGAGGTCTGGGGGCTTCAGACCAGAGTAGAACAATTTGTGCACAAGGTAAGTGATGCAGCAGTCCCTAGGCTGTGGGCAGGGTTGGTGCGGCCTGAGCCTCAGGTCAAGAGTGTGCACTGTACAACCACTGCCGAGTGCCAGCCAGGGCAGGCACCTGCATGGCGTTTTATATATGGTTTGATTTTTCCCCACTGCTAGAAGTAGCTGCTTTATGCTTTGGCTCTCATTTAGCGGCCTCCATGTCCATTGGATGAGTTTATTTGGGAAATGGAGCTTTCAAAATGTACTTGTCACTTTAGCATTGGGCTAATCTACTTACAGGCAGAGGCCCTTGGGAAGGGGCCCCGGGGCTTTTCTGTGTCCACAGGTCCTGAGGATAATTCTACTCAGAAGATCTTGCAAATGTAGGTGCCTGAGGCAGACAATGCCTCAAGAGAACAAATGAGCCACCCCAGTGCTCCCATTGGAGTACAGTAACCTCAGCACTGCCGCTTACTGAAGAATTCTGTTACTGAAGTATTATTAACAACCTCAAAACACAGATTTCAATTGTGTACTCACCTTGGCTTAACATATTAATTTTGTAGCAGAAACCTACTTGGTGATGATTTCAGTTTTCTCCTGGTTTCTAACGTGAGGTTTTTCTGCCTGGGAAAAACTCATAGGAAATGCAGTGTTGAACATTGCCCTTTGTAACTTCTCCCATTTTCATAAAAATAAATACTCCCCAAGTTGTCTCTGTATTTCAGATAGGCTGGCTATTTATTTTTCCAGTTAAAAACTGATAAACACAGCTTTACAGAATTCTGTTGGGGGCACTGGAATTTTTCCCTAAATGTACTGAGCTTGTTTCTTAGATGGATTTTTCTACTGAGTGGGGAGCCAATTGACAAGAGAAAGTTTGGTTTTGGTTTTATAGTACTGGGGATTGAACCCAGGGACACTCTACCACTGAACTACATCCCTAGCTCTTTGTATTTTTATGTTGAAACAGGGCATTACTAAATGGCTTAGGGCCTCATTAAGTTGCTGAGGCTAGCATTGAACTTGTGATCCTCCTTCCTCAGCCTCCCAAGTCACGGGCATTACAGGCATGTGCCACTGTGCCTGGCCTCTGGTAGTTTTTTAACCCAAAATGATCTCCTCTTACTAGGGGACTGTTATATAGTGCATTTTATTTCCTTTCGCCATGAATGTTTAGATCTTACCAGGGCTCATGCATTTCTTTTCTCACAGATGACTGGCCAGTTTTGAGAATCTATGATTTTTAAAAATCCTATAAAAGGAGCTGGGGATGCAACTTGGTGGCAGAGCACTCCCTTCACATGTGTGAGGCCCTGGGTTCCATCCCCAGCACCCATAAAAGCAAACAAATAAATAAATAAATTTAAAAATTAAAAACCTATAAGGACACTGCTTTATTTACAGACATTCTATTGTCCATTTCCAAATAAAATGCAGTGTCCAGGATGCGTCCAAAACACACCTGCTCTGACTCATGAGTTGCTAATGAGTATTTGAGGTAGCATTTGCATGGGCTTAAGCATCAGGATGCTTTTCTCTGAACACCTTTGTTTTTGCTTTTTTTTTCCCCTAGACTCTATTCACAGTTAAGGGTGGGGGGATGTTCAAAAGCAAGCCATTAGCACATTATTGAATTCACGTTTCCATCCAACAGCTGTGTTGTACTAAATGTAATAGGATATATTTACTAGTGCCTCCATGCTGTTCTTTTGATTTCCACAAATTTTACACACTCAGCACTCAGTGTGTGCATGGCTGGGTGTTGTTTCTTATGGTCCTTATGTGTTTCCCATTTCCCAGTCATAAAAGCCCCACTAGATCTTGTTTATGCAAATTCACCAAATTAAAATCCTTCATTTATTAAAACATGCATGAACCTTCCATGAGAGGTTTTTGACAGTCACTGGATTTGTTTGACAGGAAGACAGGAATGTTGGGAGGAGACTGTGGGTATCCCAGAAACATAAAAAAAAAAAAGCTTATTTATACAGGTTGCAAAAGAGTATCATGAAATAAAAGCATGTGAACAGCAACAGTCTTGGACACATACGCAAATGGTATATTTTACTTTCCTCAGTCTTCTATTGCCAGCATGCGTCCCTGTAAGAATCAAGTTCATTCCTTTGTCTCCAATGGAGCTTACCATTCCTATTATCTTCTATTCCAATTCAGGTCTCTTATTTCATCTCTCTCAAAATAGTTGACTAAACTGTTTTTCCCCCCTTCTACTACATGAAACTCAAGCCTAGAAGGATATTTACTTACTTGTGTGCTACACCTTGATTTACTTTTAAAAATCAACTCATTATTTAACATATTATATCAGAGAAGTGGGAAGGTCTTAACCTTGCTGGCAGGTCACTTGCTACCTAAAAAAGGGCTTTTGATTTCCAACTTTATCTTCCTGGCACCAGAGAGACAGACAAAAGTAGGAAAGTAGACACTGTTCCGGATAGAGATAAACGAAAAAGAAAACCTTAGGCTGGGGCTCCCAGAGATGCATTCGAGTCACTGCTGTGTGACTGTCTTGTAGTTGTTAGTTTGTACAAACCCCTGGCTCGACTCTCAAATGCCCTGAAGTGATTAATTTACAGCAAGTGTGTGCATGCCCTAGAAAGGGACTGGGACAAGCGGGCATGATACCTGCACGTCAGCCCGCCGTTGTCATCATCTGTGGACAAAGGGATTGAAGAATCCATATTGCCAAGACTCCCAGAATTGAAAACGACTATTTTCCAGAGAGTCCCCATCCAACCTGGTATTATTTCAACCTCCTTCTTTTCCTTTCTAGGTGGTTCGAGACATCCTGCTGATTGGACATAGACAGGCTTTTGCATGGGTTGATGAGTGGTATGGTAAGTCAATTTCCCTGAAATAACTTGTAGAACAATTTCATGACATTCAACTTGGGCTTTCAATCCCTCTGGCTTCAACTCTTACCTAAAAGGACAACAAAGGCAGGCTCCAGCTTCCTGTATTGAAACACCATCCACCAAGCATAATAAAGATGTAATTATAGAAGCTTGGTCTAAAATAACCACAAAGATATTGACTAAGTAGGACCTTGGTATATTTGATGCATACATAGTTGATATTCAGGGCTCTACCATTCTCTGCTGGATGGATTTCAAACCCATCCTAATTTATCCCAGACTTCAAGATCAAAGCTTTCTGAAGCATCATGTCAAGTAAAAGCAATCCTTTGATTCAGAGAACACTTGAAACAATCCCTCATCAGATACATACAGCTTCTGTGAGAATTCAAGGACAGACAAAAGCATAGGTACCCGTTAATCCTAATTAAAACTATTGTTCTGACCTTTTTTCGTGATATGGGAAGGTTGAACAGGTTCTGCACATTGCCAGTAAATCAAAACAAGGTTTGCTTCATCCCAAGACGGATGGACCACCCTCCCCAAATCCTCAGCACTCTCCTTTTGTCCACACAAATCCTCTGCATTCCCAGAATCAGTCATCAGATGGCTTCTGTCCCTGGCTATAAATAGAAATGCATACGCCCAATGGGTGACTTAGGTTAGATCTGACTCTCAGATCGATTGTCTAATGAAATGCCCTCCTCTTTGGCCTTTTCCTAAGTCACATTACATTTGTTCTGAGTGTAACCTAGATTGCGTTTTGGTCCTTTTCCATCATTATTCCGCCAATTCCCTCCCTTTTCTTAGCAGAAGGCACACAATTTAAAGTAAGAGGATATGCAGGACAGAATGGGCAGACAGTGACGGTTATTAATGTTGCTAGCTGTTTCTGAGCCACATTTGAAAAGGCATGGTTCTGTCGGCTGAGGTCTTTTACTTTGTTTTGTTTTAATCTTCCCAGATCTAGACCAATTGAAAAGTAAATGCGTCTGCTTGGGTTTGTTCAAACACAGAGCACCAGTTACTCTCTCCCCACACATCTCCAGGATGCTACTTTAGGCAGCAAGTTGTCATAAGTCTTCCATAGACCTATCTGTCGGTGTTGTCTTTTTTGAGGCAGGTAGACAGAATCTCCTCTGATGGTTAAACAAATCTTTCTGGGTGTTCTTTTTCCTGGGAAGCTTTTCTCAGATGGAACCCAGACATCAACAAAGGTTAGGAGCTTCTGGCCTCTCCTGACTTGTACTTCTCAGAGTTCATGGTTTCCTTGTTACCAGCTCCAAGGGAATATCCAAAGGATATTCCAAGAATAATAGGCTTGAACCAATTGGCAAGAGGACAGGACCTGAAGGCCCAAAATCTGCCACTTTAAAGACCAAGAGACAGCCCCAGAACGCCACTGAGGACTTTCCAGAAAAGGCAACATCAAAAAGAGTAGCCGGCCTCTGATCAAGAGGACAAAACAGGGCTAGGGGTGTAGCTCTGTGGTAGAGCGCTTATCTAGCATGCTCAAAGCCTTGGGTTCAGTCCTCACTGCTGCCCAGAAAAAGGGGGGCTAAACACTGCAAAGCTGTTAAAAAGGAAAGAGGGTTTGATTAAATACAGGATATTAGCAGGGAAAAAATCATGGGTGAGGGCTGGGATTGTGGCTCAGTGATATAGCACTTGCCTTACGTGTGGGCCCTGGATTCCATCATCAGCACCACATAAAAATAAATAAATAAAACAAAGGTATTACATCCATCTACAATTTAAAATTTTTTTTTCTTTTAAGTCATGAGTGGGGCCGGGTTGTGGCTCAGTGGTAGAGCACTTGCCTAGCATGTGTGAGGCACTGGGTTCAATCCCCAGCACCACATAAAAATAAATAAATGAAATAAAGTTAAATAAATAAATAAATAAAGATAAAATAAAGGTATTGTGTCCATCTACAACTAAAAAGAAAACATTTTAAAAAAAAATCATGAGTGGCTATCCAGTAAGTGAATGGCTAAGTACAGAGAATAGGGCTTATTCTTTCCTCTCTCAGCTGCACCTATGGCAAGGAAGAGACTGAAAGCCATTTAGTTGAAAGAGAGAGAGGCTTGCCTAGCATGTGCAAGGACCTAATTTAAATCTCCAGCACTGCAAAATTGGGCAGGATGGAGAGTAAAAGGAAAAGAGAAAATCCTCAGATTTTTATAGAAGCCCAAAGCTAGAACACCAAACCAAGTGAAATGGGAGCTCTCCAGCCTGGAGACCTGCAGGACTAGAACACCTGCCTACCTGCTTAGGATGGGTTAGGTGAGGGAGGTTAACAGCTCAAGGATTCTTATTACTCAAAAAGTCCTTTCTGTACCTGAGTGGAAAAAAATAAAATAAAAAGAGTACAGGGCTGGAATTGTGGCTCAGTGGCAACGCGCTTGCCTAGCATACGTGAGGCACTGGGTTTGATCATCAGCACCACATACAAATAAATAAAATAAAGGTCCATCAACAACTAAAAAATATATATTTAAAAAAGAGTACAGGGCTGGCGTTGTGGCTCAGTGGTGGAGCACTTACCTTGCATGTGTGAGGCACTGGGTTCGATCCTCAGCACCACATAAAAATAAATAGATAGATAGATAAATAAAATAAAGTTATTGTGTCCAACTGCAACTAAAAATAAATAAATAAAGGAGTACAGACTTCAGTGGATATAGATGATCAAAGCACCTTGTTCTCCCCAGCGTGGGTCTCCACCATCTATATCCACATCCCTGGCCCCAACCGTAACAAGTAGCCTTTTCACTCAGTAAGGGGTCTGAGAGCCACACCATCAATTTCACCCTAACTACCCGCAGGCACCAGCAGCCAACTGAGCTGCCAGCCAAGAGTACAGTGGCTCCTTCATTACCTGATGCAGACACTTGGGAAATCAAATGAATGGAAACAGCCCGTGCCCACCGAGTTTTCTCAGCCACTTATTCAGAGAAATGCTGAAGACTCTGGGCTTTTTAGGTAAATGTGTGTGTCTTTGTTACCAAGGCCAAGCGCATGCAGGATAACCCTGCAGTTCGGGGTACCTGAAGTTGGTTTTTCTTTCTCTGGTCTGGTCATTAGTAAACATGGAAAAGGCCTAAGGTAATGAATCCCTTGCCTATAGCTGTAATTCATAGCACTGATACTCAGTTAGGTCCCTGAGTCTTCAATATCAGCATTCCCTGGATATTAATTAGAAACCCATATTCTTAGACACTCTGCCCCCACCCACCAGGCTAAACCTGCCAATTCAGAATCTTTGGTGGGGTATAACCCAGCAATCTGTGTTTTAACAAGCCCTCCAGATAATTCCAAACTATTGGTTTATAGCATGGGCTGTATGCCAGATTGGATTGAAAACAACAGTTTAGTTAGTTCAGTTCCAAATAGGTTAAACTGGAGAATTGTAGGTGTCTTCAGGGCCAACTGCGGGACTCTGATGCTTTGTGAGAATTAGAAAAAAAGCACCCCTTTTAAACAGATAAATTAGAAAAAGATGCTTCTTCTGGGCAGAGCCAGCAGGTGCCATGGGTTTGAGGCTGGATATCAGCCGCACTCCCTCTGCTGCTGTGTGCCGGTGCAATGCACACACCGGCCACCCTTACGCAGCAGAAGCCCTGGCTGTCTTTCTCTCTAATTAGACTCACCACCTCCAGTGCTTAATTAAGAACCAAGAAAAGAGACATTGTAGAAGATGGTGATCTTTTCTCACCCAAGGATTAATTTTACATCTTTTCTGAATTCCAGCATTTGGCTGTCACGAAACTATTTCCCTAAACAGATTTTATTCTGCCTGTGTTCATTGTGAAGTGTATCCCTTTCCATTTGGAGGAGTTGAGTTTGTCTTTCAAAGCGCTGATTGGTCTTTACCCATGAGCCTTGGGTCTCTCTGCATGACTAGAACACTAATCAGAGAAGCAACAACAACGCATTTCAGGAGACGGGGTGAGAGGAGAGGTGGATAAAAATAGCCCAGCTTCACAAGAGCATGTTTTTACTTCACAAATCTGACAGTATTTTGAGAGAGGAACACTAAAGATTGCCAGAGGGAGCCTGTGACTGAGTGAAACCTAATGAATGTCTTTGAAAACCAAACTCTTCCCAGAAAGTATGAGGGATATATGAGGAGAAGTTGGGGCTGATGTAGATGAAACAGTCCTCATGAAAGTGACTTAGCGATTGGTCTGGAGCCCCTGGAGCAGGCCTAATCATGGTGGAGCAGGCTCAAAGCAGAGACAAGCCTGCTAGAGGCTAGCTCAGCTGGTTGAATTCACTAAGCCAGCATTTTCCAGTGTCCCCAGATCCCCTGAAATACAAACCTGAGCACCGTGGCTCTTGTGCAACGTTTTTGGTGTGTGTGTGTTCAGGCTCATTTTGCTAATGAGACAGCTCATAGCTTTCCAGAAGATTTTCAAAGGAATCGCTGAACCCTTCTTCTCCACCCCTAATTACAGAAAAAAATCACAACTTTATAGTTCTAGATCTTCATGGTCTGAATTACATGGAAAGGGCGTGCACCAAGCCTTTCAGTACCAACAAGTGGAGGCACCCTGAACTTTTTGTAACAAGCGTGTATTGATTCCATGATCATTTCAAAGGGTTAAACAGTGGCACTTCCCAGAGCATGGCCACCATTTTACTGGAGCTAAAGGAGTATCCAGTCTAATTCATGATTGCTAGATCCTCCCCAACACAACTACTTGTTCAGGATTTCAGTTTTAACCTAGTATGAAGAAAAAATGACCTCTATTTTAGCTGAGGAGCCAGGAAGTAGAGAGAGATTATGTTTTTAGAAAAAAGTAAAGGAAAATGTGCCGTTGAACAGGTCATTGAATTCAAGTATGAGACTTTCCTTTTTACAACTTTAGCTGCTGCAACTGTTCAGTACAGTACAGTAGAGGAGAATTTATGCTTGCAGACGCTTTGTTTCAGGGCATCTGTAATATCTCTCTATGTTCAAAGACTTAGATCCTAAT